ACAAGTTCTCGGCCTCCGTACTGCTGTGTGTGTACGCGTGTAACAAAATATTGTGAACCGTGTTTTTCAGCATCCGCTAAAATTGGACGCAATAACCACCCAATCCGAGGGGGGTTACACATCTAAATCTCAATTCTAGATGCTCAACAAATCTCACACTATCGAATCAATCTTTCATTTCTCGCATCTACTTGCATCGTGCATCATCTTTTGCAGGAAATCTTCAGAGTCGTCATCAATCTTCTTTCTATCTACTCAGCGTGCGTGCACAGCTAAACACAGCAAAGCACTATTTTTTCTGCATCGTAGATAGAGGTGGCGCCAACTGGGATTAGACCCAGGCCTGCTGGGGTGAGAGGTAATCACGTTTACCACTACACCACCGGCACCACTTAAGATTGAGCAATTGTTTTTAAATATTTCATCTGAAAATAACAAAACAATAAGTTAAGAAACTCCGAAGTTAGAAATTCGATTGAGCCTTTACTTCCATTGATATTTATGAGTGAAGGGGCGAGGGGGAGGGTACACTATCCCCTCCCCCCCTCTCCATCTACGTATATGAGATAAAAGTATTGTTTTTGAATAATTCATCTGAACATACCAAATGGAAAAGATGTGAAACTCCGAAATTATTTCAGTTTGGAATCTGACTTCCCTTGTTACACCGGCAGTGTTGGCAGGAAAAGTGATTTTTTTTTTGCATTTAATTCGAAATAACAATCTTTGAACAGCTATAACTTTTTTAGAGGCATTCTAGCACCGTACATTTTTTGGCAATGTTGTGAACTATACTTTCACGTGATTAATGGCATGGTTCCTAGGAATGAAAATTCAAAAAAGTAGGTTTTCCCATACTAATATACATACAAATTTCAAAGGCAATGCGGAAAGCCGGGTTAAAAGCAATCATTCCCAAATTTCGCACAATTGTTTGGGACCTCAAATGGAACCAAAAAAAAAACATTTTTCTGAAAAAATGATCATGATGACTCACTCTAGTGTATATGTATGTGTGTATGTCATCCTCTACCCCTCATCCAGTTGGAGGCGTTGGACAAATAGCACTACGAATAATTTGATAAAATCCAATGCTCTGTAATGATGATTAGTATTTTGAAAAGGATAACTTTTGAGGCAAGACAGAGCGTCCTCAACATGTTTAAGGAAAAGGATGTACTAATGTCAGGAGACTGGCAACCCCATATCAATCCTATACGATCGACAGTAGGCAAGATCACGGGCCTTATTTAAGGCTATGAACCATTTGACGAGTTAAATTTAATTCGTGGTTAAAAGTGACATTTCGAAAGTTATTTTCTATGTTCGAAAATCCCTGTGCTGCCGATCGACCGGTTTTCGAGAAGAACTTAACCAAGGTTGTCAACATTTAACTTCTTGTCTGTCAGAAGTAACCACGCTCGGATAGCAGGGTTAGGCTGTGAACCATTTGCCGAGTTAAATTTAACTCGTGGTTAAAAGTGACATTTCGAACGTTATTTTCTATGTTCGAAAATCCCCGTGCTGTCGATCGGCCGGTTTTCGAGCCATGGTTGTCAAAATTTAACTTCTTGTCTGTCAGAAATAACCATGCTCGGATAGCAGGGTTAGTCAATAACTTTCCATCTGTCAAATTTTAACCAAAACTTAAAATAATCCACCAAATGGTTCAGAGCCTAAATACGGCTCGCCTGACGTATACATGAAGGACAGGAACGCAAAATCGTGTTGTAAGCAGAAAGACAAGAGCAGATGAAAGCATCAAAAACATGGCCGCCAGCCAGGCCCCTGACTAATGCCCACAACAGGTACAGCAAAACATCACATATACGCCCTTATTCGCACTATCTATTCAGGGGTAGAAGGAAAAGAACAGCCACCACAGCCAACAGAAGCTTGGACCGAGAACCTGGGTAATCCACAATACCCTTGACAACAGCCAGCAAACAATGACCTGTCATATTAAGTAATATAATTTTAATTTTATCTAATTTGAGCCGACTGGCTCAAATTGTTCCAAAAGCAGTATAAAACCCAGTAACGCTTAAAATACCAACTACTCTCCGGTGAATCATCGAACTGGATATATCAAAGCTCAACAATTCAGTCAAAGACTGCTTTATGAATACTTGAAACCAAATACCAACACAAAATGGAACGCTTTTAATGCAAATGGCCAAATTTGCATATGAAAAACACGCAGCAAAAAATAAACATGTTTGCCTTCAAGCGCGGCCTACTGCCCTCTTCACGAATAAAATCTATCATGTCAAGACCAACAATTAAAAAGACCTTAACTCCATTTTGTAAACAAACCTTTTAAGGCCATTTCCTCGGGAACCGAGATCTACATTCGCAAACCTAAAACACAATCGACCGAACAAGGTTTGTTTACAAAATAGAGTTAATGCCTTTTCAATTGTTGGTCTTGATGTGGCACCTAAAATCACATTCGAATTAAAAAAAAACTAGTTCAATACAAGCCAGATGAAGTACCCATGATCACACTGGCCGCATCCGAACATGTTCCGGGTACCGCCGGGGAAGTGATCAGGTTCTGACTAGGGTCAAAATCCGATATCTCAAATCACATGAGAATTCAAAAACCAGTTCAATTGAAGTCATTTGAAGTGCACAGGAACACATTGGCCACATCCGGATATGTTCCGGATACCTCCGGAGAAATGGTCAGTTTCTAACCAGAGTCAAATTTCTGCATGCGACACTACTAATCACAAGAGAATTCAAAAACCAGTTCCAAGGATGTCATTTTGAGTGCCCAGGACTACATCTGCTACATCCGGATGTGTTCCGGATAGTTCCGGGGATGTGGCCAGTTTCTGACCATGGTCAAAATATATCGATACTTGAAATCACATGAGAATTCAATAACTATTTCAATTGAAGTTATTTTGAGTGCCCAGGACCATATTGGCCACATTCGAATATGTTCAGGATACCCTCGGGGAAGTGGTCAGTTTTTGACTAGGGACAAAATCCATAATGTGATAGCTTAGTTCACATGAGGAATTGTTTATTATATCACATCGTATGAGCAATTTGTCGGAATTCATATTAGTAAGAAGGGTCAGATCTTACCATAGGTGGATTAATTCAGGTTTTTCTTTTTTTTTGCCGATTTCCATCGTTAGTAAAACGCAATATTCAAGAGTAAAGGGCCACCCACATTCGATCCGTTTGCGTTGCGTTGACGTAAATTTGACAGTTAGACAATAGATTTAGCTGTCACTTTGCCGCAACGCGTCCGATCCGGATCTAATGTGCGTGGGCCTTAAAACGTTAGATCACTCCAACAAATATTTGAGATCTCATGCTCAGAAAATATTTGAAGATCTCGGATTGAGAATTTTTTGACGTTTCTGTTCATTAACTACACACTAAAAAATCTGAATTTTACTGGTGATGTAAACATCCATTCATGCAAACATTCATGCATGTAAACTTCCTTTTCACGTAAACTAGCAGCTTGCAAGAAATGTTGCAAACAAAGGTGGAAAGTTGCATACAATATATGGAATATTGCATGACATGTCTCATAAATCTACACGATTTATAATGTAAATTTGTATGATTTATGACGCTCCATTTATGTGCATCATAGTAACGGAAATTTACACTACTTGTTTTTAGCTGTGTACGTAGACATTTTAGGTGGCAATTATCCACGGCCCATACAAATTTTAAAAATTGTTTATGCACAATTGTCTATGGAGGAGAGGGGGGTCAAGAATCCCAAAAAACTGTCTACGTAGTTAATGCACAGCCCTTAAGCGATCATACTTTGATGGCGATAAGCTCCAACTTGGATTAACTTTTAATTAAACGTTTCTGTTTTGATGATCTGCAAAGTGATTGCTTAGAATCGTGTTGATTAACTCTGATGTGGACATCAAAGCAGCCGGACAGCCTTGATCGGGATTTAATCCGAAGATACTACCAGTTGGAGCTTACGACCATGAAATATGCAAATATATGGCCAATTCAAGCTAAACATTGCATTACGTCCTAAGTAACATTGATCGATTCTTTTCGTCGACTTTCTCTTTCTTTAATAACTTGAGCATAGAATCGTTTCGTGATATGTTATAGTCATATTAGATGCTAGATAAAAGCTTCTTTTATCGATCTGCTGAAAAAACCTGGGAAAGTCTTTACATGGCCGTAAGAATGCAAAGAGGAAGTTGAGGAAGAGAATCTGTCAATGTTACTTAGGACCTAATGCAATGTTCAGCTAGAATTTAAGACCTCGCCTTCGCCCCTTGTGGCGCATTTTCATACACCAAATACATGTCCGGTCACAAATTTTGCAAGCCTAACCTCCTTGTCAAATGATAAGTCATTTATGTATGATCCATGAGTTGGTCTTATGAGCCGCTATTTCGTGTTTTTAGAATTATATCATACCTGTATTTGCATATTTATAGTGCTTTCAATGTTGAAAATATTGCATTGAAATGCGCTTAATTTAAAAAATTAAATTCCATCGCAACTTAACAAATTTTTAATTGTGCAATTATTCTAGAGAAAATTGAAAAAAAAATAATAAAATTTACATTTTTTTTTAATCTACATCAAAATAACTTCCAAATTTTTTCATATTTCCTTGATGGCCATTAGAAAAAGCGTGCATAATAAAAAAAATGCCAATAGAGGTTTTGATTCAAAAATGCCCATCACAAAAGTTTTTCTAGCATGTTAACTTTTGATACAAAAAATCCCTAGAAGAAATCATTTTAAGGATGTTTCTAACCGCCCTGCGTATTAATAGGCTGTCATCAACAACGATAGATTTATCAAAATATACATACAATTTCCTACCAAGGCCTTAATTTGGATCCCTATCATTTATGACCAACAAATCAATTCATAAACAAACTATCCAAAATGTGAAGTTGACATCACAATCACACCACTGGCGTTCCCCCGCCGACTTCCGTATTCCAATTTGATTAATACAACCGGTGTGCAACCTTTTCCAGTTGTTGACGCTCAAAGGAGACAACGCGATCGGTCTACTAAATCTAGAACAGTGTCATTCAAACAAGCATCCGGTAGTGACATACTCGAGGCAAGAGTAAACAAAAACCGACCAATTAGGTCCGGCACCGTGGAAGTGTATCATTAGCCTACTAGACAGAGTGGAAGTGAACAATCAAATTAATTTTACCAGCAGGCATCTACTCCTACCGATCGAAGCAACCAGTCACTGGCAACCATGGGAAACGCATGCTCAGACAATTCCAAATCTCCAATACCCGGGTGAGTAAAACCGCTTCTTAATAAAGTCATTAGCCAAAATTTACTTCCTAGTTGCGTAAAGGTAGTTAGGGTTAGGGTTGAAAAAGTGACAAATCAAATTTTGAACAATAATTCAAACTAATACGTGTGTTATGGCTGTTGAGATCTCCCCCACGCCGCTGTGATCCATATGTGAATTGTTTTGAAAGGCAAGGTTGAAGGCTTATTAACTCACAACTTACCCTGATTGTTTTGTCTTTCGCGAGACTGCTTTAAAGTTACAGTGAGAGTTGGATTTTCTTAACATCATATGAATATGGTGAAGTCAGAAATGACCTAACATGTACTCCTGTATGAAAATTCAACTGTTCCAAAAATTGGGTCTTTCCTTCCATGCCCGCTCATAATTCAGTGCGAGAATCACATGACCTATGACACAACATCCCTGTGGTCTTGGAATCGACTGGCGAATAATTTATTATTTTAACATGAACAGTATAAAAAGCGCCGTTTCACCTGCTAGGTATCTCAATGGAAAATTAAACAAGATCACGATTGTCAGCAGCGCACTGCGTACTCTCGGTTATCCTTGAAAAGATCGAGCATAATATATTGACTTATTGAGATTGAGACATAGTGCGTTGAATGCTACACGGTCTACTAGAGGAAACCGTATAACAGTAAAGGTATTTTAGCAGCAGCTAAGGTGCTAAAATTCCTTGAATGTAACATGCAGTTTTCACTATTATGGTAAGCTATGTTCAAGCCTGTTGAGCAAAGGAATTTCCAGGTCAACTTAAATGTCAGTCTGTTTTCTGGAACCGGAATGTTGTTCCATTTGAACTTTAGACAAGACGGCGACGCCCAGTGGCAGTTGCGTAACTGCTATAAAAGTATAGTTTCAAGATCAGCCGTAAATCGAACCATTATTTCATTAATTGTATTAAGCGGCGGAAAACGACGGTTGCGACGTTCTCTCGACCTTCGCCCTTGATAGAAAAGTAATACTGACACTGACGCTAGAGTGTATAATAAAAACGTCACCGCAAGCCATAATAAAGGACCACGTAGCGCACGACGGGTTAGAGCACGTGATAGATCTACTGATCGAGATTGAGATCACTATCGTACTGATTACAGACTGATCAGTTGGATGAGAGCGTTTTGTTTGGTTGACTTTCTAAAGGTTGAATTGCCATGTCTAGTTCAGTGGATTCTCCCTTAGTTCAGTCGGTGAATGTTTGGCTACAAAGCAAAACCATGCTGGAGACGGAGGGATCGATTATATGTCTAATAGAGGATTTTTTAGGGTGAAAAATGTTATTCCTGTTGTACCGGTTTGCACTGAATTATTTTATTTCATTAAAGCCCAAGGTGTTTCACAATTGAGAAATATGTATGAATGATGTATGGGCATATAAAGCAAGGTAGCCTACATTTTCATGAAAAATTTGAAATTCTATGGTAAAGTTCCAAACAAATTCTTCAACTAGTGTCCTCAATTTCTGCTTAATGTTGATTGTTGTAGGTCTTTTAACTATAAACAAATTTGACTCAGTTTGGCCCATATTGGTTTTGGAAGTAACTTTGCCGAAGACATCGTTCATCTAGCACTTCGTATAGCAGAGTTAGAGGAATTTTAAAGTTTTTAATTAGGGTGTTCCTAAAAATAAAAATTTTCTCTTTCTATCATTTTTTATTCGCATTTCTATAAAACAGCTAGTTCCAGTTTTGTTTTGTTCATAAGACTGCATGACCATTCAGGTGGTTATGGGCTAAACGTATTTTTTTTTTTTTAATTTTAAAGATTATTTTCGCAATTAAATAAAACATGCACAGTGGTCCAGAATGCAGATTTAGGCGGAATGATATGTTTTGAGCCTGAAATTGAAACTTTAGACTAAAAGACTCTTGTACAAAGTTGTTCCTTATAGTTAGGTGCTAATTATTATGACATTGAATTCTAGGGTGGTTCTTATTATCATTAAAATCAAAAATCTAACTTTTTTGTTTGAATAAATTAAGGTATATATTCTTGGGCAAAGTTATAGCTGAGCTAATTTCAAGCAACTTTGTTGAAAACAACTTTTTTGTGTCTCTTAAATTGGCCGATTTAGAGCTATTAGGCAACAAATTTCGCTATAAAACATTCGCCTTAAAGAGTATTAAAAGTCTATAGAAAATGACTTTCATGAGAAATTTTGCGCCTTCTAAAGATCTAAAAGTCTTTTAAAGCCACCTTTGCTGAGAAATTTGAAATAAGAAAACTAGAGCAAAATAACTGTTTTTTTTAGCACCACCCTTACTCAATTCAAGAAAATAGCTCTAAATCGGCCAATTTAAGAGATACAAAAAAGTTGTTTTCAACAAAGTTGCTTGAAATTAGTTCAACTATAACTTTGCCAAAGAATGTATACCTTAATTTATTCAAACAAAAAAGTTAGATTTTTGATTTTAATGATAATAAGAACCACCCTAGAACTCATTGTCATAAAAATGAGGGCCTAACTATAAGGAACAACTTTGTAGAAGAGACTTTTAGTCTAAAGTTTCAATTTCAGTCTCAAAACATATCATTCCACCTAAATCTGCAGTGGCTTTTCAGTTGCCGAATCAAGAATCGAATGATTATCTAGAATGTCGAGGGGCTTCGGTCCCCCAAGACCCTATTAGAAGCATCAGGTAAAAAATAACAGGATGTCTATTATTTGTTAAATCCTAAAAAACTTGGGAAAAATGAGAAAAACTGCAAAATCTAGAATTCTCAGAAAATTTTCCAATTCCTTTATCAAGTTATTTTTTTAGAATATAATCTATTGTAGACGTCAGCAAACTTTCTCATGAATTTTTAAATATTCTTTAATATCGACAGTCTACTTTATCTTACTTTGTACATCATAATCCTGGAGGGAATTGACATTTTTATATTTTTTATATCTTCAGTAATATCGTAAATTCTTAGGTTTGAATTATGTTTTTTTTAAGTTTCTGGAACATGGATAATTTTTACAATTTGCAAACTTAGACTATTTATTTAAATCTTTGGCCTAATGTTCACCAAATGAAATCAAATTCGGAGAAATTTTCAAGAAACTGGAGTGACAAATATATTCAAAGCTATGGACATAACAAACATTCCAAGAACCCAGATTTCAAATAAATTGTGGGCCGTGCAAAATTTGCAAAACCTATGATCGTTACTGAATTAATTTGATGTGAATTTTCAAGGTTCTCCAGGAATCAGTGCTGTTAATTTTCATATCATTCGATTGAAGATGAACCAATACAACCATTCAATCAATTCTGTGAAAACGAATTCTCACATGACCATAATTTTAAGAACCCCTTTCTCATTCGAAGCTCATCGTCACTGTCAATTGAGTCGTCAATTGACTAAGCAACTGTTTTCACCCATTCGAAGGAGGTTCCCTTTGATAGCGGATAGCTGCTTTTCTCATTTTCATCAAAAATGTTCAATTGATTTTGAGAATTTACAGCACAGCTAGGAATAATTTCACTTGAATTGAAAGAAAAATATTACAGGATGACTTTTTTTTTTGAAAATGAGGATTCCTTCCAAATTAGTTCTGAGGAACTTCAGACTCTAGGTGAAATGAAAGGAGAGTTCCAAGATGCACTCAAAATACTCGTTGACAGTTTTACTCTGCCCTGTGTCAGCCAGAGTCGCTGTTATAATAAGAGTCCCGCCAAGAGAAAATGTTAAGAACAAGCAGCACTGTTTGTGATTTATTTTCCGTCAGAGTAAACGGCAACCAGATTTTTTGCGTTAGTATCATTCAGAAGTGAAAAATTTCATGTCGAAACGGAGCTTGTGGGAGACAAAAACAATTATAGAACCTGGAAAATGTTCAAACAAGCAGTGCTGCAAAATATCCAAAATAAACGGCGATATTCAAAATTCTGCTTTGGTCACTCATTTGAGCTAACACTCATCACAAGGCAAACCATGTCGATTATCAGTGACAATGTTGTCAGTGACAAACATGTGGAGATTTTTTTTGTTAGTCAAGTTTGTAACGAAAATAAATGACTTGAGCAAAACAATTACATTGAGCCATTAAAGTGAACAAGCATCTTCGTCCTGAACTGCTTGGATAACAATAATGTGACATAGAATGCACGAAATTACACTTATTGTTACCAGATCAATTTTTGTCAGTGACTATGTGAAAAACAATTTTGTCAATATCGCGCGAAAGTATGTCAATGACAATCACAAATCGCAGAACTGCAAACAAGTGCTTTGTATAACTTATAAACACCACAATGTACTAAATAAAGCGAAGAAATGTTTTTCATCTAAAATTACTAAAATATTGTCAGTAATGAATGCAGTACTTGTAGTTCACTGGCTATGGAAAAAATAATGTTTATTTACTTTGCTTGTTTGGTACCTCGCTTAACAGTTCGATTGGTACTTCTGGCTTCACTCTTGGCGGGACTCTTTTTATAAAATTTTCTCTGGTGCCAGCCATTGATGCCGTTCAGTCAAAATTTGCAGAAACGAAAATCGATGAAAAAGCTCTTTAAAAAATATACTGCGCCTGCGATTGAGCATGAACGCATATGAATGCATTCCGCGCCACGTGACCGAGAGAACAATTCAAACGTGTAATTGACCTCTTACAAATTACACCAAATTTGGAGGGGATGTTTATTTTAGTCTAACTTTTAAGAATCCAAATTTTTAGGACGATTGATGCACCACAGACAAACGGACAACACTCGCAAGGTGTTCATCGAATACGCATTTAACGGTCAATTTAAATGTTTTTTGTTGGTAGTAACGCCACCTGTGGTGCGCATAGTCAATTCCCTTGCGTTTGACGTTTACACACTACCGTTATCTATTCAGCGTACTACCCATCACAGTATACTCAACAGATGGCGGTAGTGTTTTAGCGACGATGTTTTATATTGAAAAATATTAAATGTGTTATGTCTGTTTGTCTATGGATGCACCTTTCGGTCCAAGAAGAGCATTTTCTATTTTTCGTGAT